CTTCCCAACGGGGAGTTTTTCCTCTCCACTGTTGCTTCATGCTTGCTCATCATGGACAGGTTCTCTCAACCTGGACTTCCATCTTCCAGGTCCCTCAGTGAAGCTCTAGTATCAGCTCACGCAGTCCACTGGATCTCCCCATAAAGCTCAGCAGACCGTCTCGCTAACCAGCAGTCTACAGACTGACCAACTTCATCTATCTCAGTGTATTCTCATTATCAGTTCATATGGAATCATACGAAAAGTTATGCACAGTAATTTCGTACGTTTTTGACGTTTTTTCGTCGCATTTCGTCGTATTTTTACGTCTTGCCTCGAGAAAAGATATCCTTGAGCATGCGCATCTTACGCACCATTCAATAACATAGAATTTAACATACAATTAACCCTAAGATACAAAACAGCAAGCAACCTAGTTAGAGACCTGAAGAAGTGATTATTGCACTGTTCTTCCCAGTTTTACGTCCGTCCGTCCGATCTGCTATTTTCGTCTGTCTGGCTGCGCACTGATCTGTTTTTTCGAGGAAAAACGTGAAAAAACGTATGAAATACTGTGCATAACTTTTCGTACGATTCCACTCCACCACCAGTTTCATGCCTGGGAGGGAAACAGCCCTATTCTTTGCTCCTGTTCATGCATATCTATCAAAATTCCGTGCTATGTTTCCTGCCGAGGTCTGAGCGCCAAAGACAAAGTAATTGTATCAATAAATTTCTTCTAATTGCCTTTCCTCTTCATGTGAGTTTTTCAGATTGAAATCACTGCGGACCTATGAGTTTTAGGTCTAGATTATGACCCATTGATTATTCTTTGCTGACGGACTTTTCCTTTACTTTAGCTGAAGTGTTTCTGTGATTTCTATTGGGTCCCTGCTTGGAAGCTGAATAAGAAATCACACCTGGGAGCCTCTCAGCTGAGGAGAGTCTCAGGTGATGATGGCGGCCGTCTATGTGAATACGCGGGAGTGCGTGGGGGGCAGGGGACACTCACTCATACACAGGACACTAGAGGAGGGGTGTGAGTGTGTTTCAAACTACAGGGAGGAGGAGAAGGGAGGAGGCTCGCCTTTTCCCCTCACTCTGTGTGCAGCAACAGAGAAAAGTTAGTGGGAAGGTTAGCCGCTCCCTTCACTGAGAGCTGGGGCTTGAATCTGGTTTCCTATTGGCTCTATTTTAGAGTTTCTGCAGATTTAAAAGGAAACCACTTCAAGGGAAAAAAAATAATTATTTTGTTAAGATTTAAGCCAGAAAGAAAATGTCTGATGGTGGAGTAAACCCACACTTGGAGGGGATTATTTCGGATTTTGAAGGTTTGTCTTTGGTTTTCTTTATTTCTCTCAATCCCTGTGTTTCTGCTGGTTGTTTAAAGTGAGCGCCAACATCTGTCAGATACTATCCACAATCTTTTCCACTCGGTCTGGACCTGCAGCGTCTGTAGGGTGTCTTGTTTGTGCTTCTGCAAGAGTGCTTGTTATTCTGTCAAAAACGGGGCGGTGGGTGAACGCACGCCAAAGCCCTGCAGCCTGTCATCTGTTATCGATTATATCAGAGTAACGTCAATAATGGAGACAAAAGGAGCAGCGACTTTATCTCAGCATGTTCAGACGCCAGCTTTTAGAGTGTGAGACAACATATGTCCCAGGCTTTTCAAGCAACACCTCTGCTATGTTTGTTTAGTGCATATGGTTCCTTTGTCCCAGTTTTCCTCTTGTATTCTGTCATTCTTCCTTCCCCGGGCCGTCTTTTCCTGTTTCTCCTCCTGTCAGTTCCTCCAGCTGCTGTTTTACGTCACACTCTGATGATGCAAACCACACTGGAAAAAATCTAAATCTAGATAAGTAATTTTTCTTAAAATAAGTGCATTTGTTCTT